TACAACTCCCCTCATACTCCTGCCTTTGCCCTGTGATTCTCTGCCACTCGTTACAGGCATTGGATGCATTGTATATTCTTTTTTTAGCTTGCACTCCTGGTGAAATCCTAGAGAGCTTTTCGGAGTATTAATTACTTTTCTACTGAGAATTTAAATCAGCTTGTTTGCACATGGCTTAGCAGGATATTTGAGTGGATCATTCCATGTATACTAAAGCGTAAGATGTCTGAGAAGAAGCAGTAACTATTTTTTTATTTGAGGTCAATAGATACATAGATAATGGCTCTATTTGTCAGGCAGCTGGAAAATGGAAAGACAAAATAAAGCTCTGAAGTCTGAAGTCAGGCTTCTGTATTTGTGCAAGCACATTAATATCCCAAGTCATAGGTTTGTAAAGCCGTAACATAGGAAGTAGTTCCTGGAGAAAGCAGAGAGATCTGCTTACTGGTCAGTACTTTTGAAATCCAATCACACTACCTGCTCCTTAAATAAGTAACTTCATCACATAACATGGTAATAGCCATTGCATTAGGATGTAAAATGTAAAAAGTTATTAGCCTAACAAGCCCTCTCATTCTGCATCCCTGAAGTAGCAGAGCTTTTGTGTTACTGATGTGATACAGTTGTTAAGTCATCCCTACACATAACCTGAGTTATCCTGAAGTATGTGGCACAGGTCATGCAGTTAAAGGGGTTGATCCTCAAGTTACTGAAGACCAATTCTGCCATGTTGTAAGGGATGCATTACAAACTTGTTGTGGACTGATTTGTGATGAAGCAGTTAAAGATCTAATCTAGAGTGAATTCTGTCATCTAAACTGCAAATCATCGTGCTTTCAAGAGTTCTTTTGAAAATCTCATTTCTCCCCCTTCTCATCAAGCGTTGTCCTTTACCTGTCGCTTTCCCTCATCTCTGAAAAGCTGGGTGCAACGCCTACAGAATACAATACAATGGCAGCCTCTCAGAGTGTGATGGCGTGTTTTGGCTGAGACTTGAAATTTTCACGTGCTTCCTTAAATTTTGGAGGGTTGAATGTCTTGAAATGCTTTTTTCTCTGCTTATTGGATAACTTCCAGTACCTTCTGTGGGCCGGAGCACCGTAAACACAGGTTTTTTCGCTTTCCTATGTCCAGTTCTTTACTCTGCTCCCAAAAACTTAGGTTTAGATAGCATTTAAAGAATCCGAAGGAATTTAGCAAGTCAGGTTTGAAACCCCACATCATGTTCCTCTGAGCAGAGCTCTCAGCACTGGGCTGAAATTGGGCTCACAGAATCACAGAATGGCCAGGGTTGGAAGGGACCTCAAGAATCATTAATCTCCAACCCCCCTGCCACATGCAGGGCCACCAACCTCCCCATTTAATACCAGACCAGGGCTTCTTTTCATTTGTTTTCCTGTTGTCATTCCTCATCAGTCCAGTATCAGCAATAAGGAGGATATCTTCCTGCCAGCTTTGTGCTTAAGGATGTTTAGGATGTATGGATTCATCCTATTATTTTGTGTGGCTAAGGACTGTAGATTTGGCCTGGCCCCCGGACCACAAGAAGTAGCATTTAATCCACCACCTCTCTTCAAGAGGCAGACTGGACATGAAGATACCTGTTAGGAGGCTCTGAATGCCTGTCTACACACATCTTCTTCCCTGTCAGTTTGCTCTAGGTCTCTCCTTACTGTCCATTTATTGTGTATATATGCCTGTATTCGCACTTGATAACAAGCATGCTTTAATGTAGTACCCTCTGGAAGACTTGGGCAGCAGCTGTCTCTGCTGATCTTTCAAGATTAGCAAAGATCTGTCACACTCCTTGATGATGAACAGTTTTCCACCCAGAAAAGCAGCCAGGCAGAATATCAGAACACCATGTTTGTTTGGGATGTCTGATGACTTGCTGAAACTGCTATAGAGCAGTTCCCTGTAGTTGTTGGGTTCTGAGCAGCAAGGGAGAATACAGGGAAGAATCACTGGATCTGCTGTGTGCTGTGCTGGGATTGCAGGAAGGCTGACAGACTTGCTGTGCACACAAATAGCTTTAGCTCTATGTTTACTAGTAAAGTCATATCCCAGAAGCACTGATATTATTCAGCTTGTCCTACTGAGCACTCGCACACCTTTTTGGCTTTTGGAAATGGCAGACAGAAGTTTGATGACATTCAGATAAGAAATGCAGCTGCGTTTCTGATTCAGGACAACGAATGTGAGCTTTTCCGGGAGCTTTTCACAACCTTCCCACCAAACATAAAAATCTTCTTGAATAAAGAATCTTCCTGACCATCTTTGATCTATGAGATGCTTGGTACAACTAAAGTGGAATCTGGTAAGAATCATTTGAGTTTGAACTTCTATAAAACCACTGCTCCTCTTCACCTTAGGTAACAGCAGCTACAGAAATTATGTAGTGTTTCTATTGCAGAATGGCTGTATTTTCTTCTACTTCCCTCTTGCCTGTTCGGAATAATATGTATGAAAGTTGATTATCTTCAGCATTTTGAATATGTGAAGACCTCAGTAAATCCCTAAAATTGTTATTTTAAAGTCAAGGCCACTTCAAAAATTATTTAGAGCTAAAAATAGTGATTGTATTGTAATAGAGCTTATGCATATCCTAACTCCAGATTCCTGCTCCTACAGTGTACAGTGTTGAGTTAGGTATGGTTTCTAGTCTGAAGAGATCACATCACAAACAGACCAACTGAGAGTACAATAACAGAATATATGAGCACTGTTTGCAAGCATTATGATAACTTAATGTGTTTACCCCTTAATTCTTTAGGAAGTATTCAAGCAGGCAGGAATCAGTCACCTGGAATGGCAGAAGAAACAACAGACTGGGGAAGGAAAGGCTCAAGTTAGCAGAGAAAGGAAGTGGAGGAAACAGGACTGAGGAGCTACTGGGCTGAGGCTCTGGCAGGCACACAAAAAACAAGAGGTGGAATAGAGGCATGACAAGATCTATTCAAACCAGGGAAATACTGCAGAATGGCAGTATAATCCAGAGATATCATTAGCTTCTATGGAGGCTGAACAAGCAATAGCTGCCCAGCTGGGTCCTAGCAGCTGAATGGACTGGAGATCTTTTCTCCCCGTCTCCCCAAACCAGAATGAGCCCAAGATTTTCCATAGAGGCAGAGAATTCACTGCTAGTCATTCACAAAACTGGGGACTCTTCTTTTTTTCTTTCTATCTATCATCACAGTGCTATATAGGAACTCGAGTTTTATGATGTAAGATACGCCTGATGTTTTACAGAGAAGCTTGCTGTCCAGTGCATGGTGTGTTGGAAGAGATACATGCTCAGTGGTTTCAGAAAAATGAGATGTTTGTTCATTCTTTCTGAAAAAGCACTACTATAGATTTAGTAATAAAATTCCAAGATTGTTAGGTAGTTACTTCAGTATATTTACAGTACTTGGTTCTTTTAAAAGTGCAGATCGTATCTCTGATCACTCTGTTCTGTTTGCCAGGATTTCTGCAGTGCAAATAGGGAAACTGTCAGGCAAGAATATTTTTACAGTTTATTTTTCTTCGTCCTCTGAAGGTCAAAAAGTGTTTCCTATATATAGGTACTAAAATTGTTGAGGATTGGCTCTGAGGACTTTTGAAACTGTACCTCTGAAACATGCCATGTTTTGAGAGGGATGCTTTGAGCCAGTTCCTGACCCCAGGCTATTGGGATTCTTGTTCTCTGACCCCAAATAAAGTCTCTTATTAAGGAGGAAGAATAAGTTCACCCTTGTGTTTCAGTGGTCGCTGATTTCCATATCTGAGGTTTTGAGAAAGTAAAAGATGGGAAAGTAAAACTAAAGGACAGAGTAAACCACTCCAAATGTACTGGCCCCTCTCAGATGTCTTTGTTCTGTTTGTGATTTAGCATAACATACAGAGTAGTTTGATATCTTCCAGTCCAACACTGACTGCCTGTTCACACCTATGTGGAGGACTCTACCCATGCAGAAAAAGCGAAACAAGCTGCATCCTTACACAAGAGTCTTCCTGAGAGAATGAAGACTAAAACATCTTCATGCTGTCCAGACTTAAGATTCAGAGTCTTTCTCCAGTGCTGATCTAGTCAGGAAGAGATTGTCAAACACGTATTATCTCCATCTTCTTTTAAACGCGTCTGACCGTTGTCTGTGTCATGCATAAATTTGCTGTCTCTTTGCATTTATGTTTGAAATGTATTTACTTCGGTGATAAGCCAAAGCCTGTAGATGGGAATATTCATACTAAAGGAAGAAACCAATTGGGTCTCAGGTTTGTGTTGGCAATGCTCATTTAAGGTATTGGTCCCTTAAATACTTGCTAAACTGAAGAGCATTACATATTGGACAGAATGAATCCACCAGCCTAAAAAGTCTGCTCAAATGCTCAGGAAGATATCACTCTCTGTTCCTAGCAGCATGGGAAAATAGCCATGATCTTGACATCATTTCTTGGATGGATTTCATCATTTCTTGGATGCTAGGAGCATGTTCCCATTCTTTAATTTCACTAACTAGTGGCTGCCTTAGTTAACCATGGCAAACTGCTGTAGATAGATCCTAGAGTATTGCTGGTATGTAACTGTCTGTATTTTTTTGTTGCTTGCAGGATAGCAGAACAAATTGCAACAGATCACGTGAGCTTAAAGCATTTCTAAATAAATCCTTATCTTTAATGTAGGCCAGTGAATGTTTGAATTACTTCCTTTCTTCCTTTCTGGGACCGAGAGCAGTTTAATCAGTAACTCTTTCATTTTCATGCATATGTTTTGGAAGGAGAAAACAGGGTGCCAGAAATACCTTCTTTTCCTTTGGACCTTCTTTTTCATCTACAAGAGAAGGGAGGCAGTTCTGATAAAGATGAGATTTGGCTCCCCTTGAGTTTCATTGGCACTCACACCGTATGTTCCCATATCACAATTTTGGTGGGTTTTGAGTTCATCCAAACATGTTGCCGTTTTGTGGGTGTTTCAGTCTTATTCTTTTCAAGCTGTAACAGTTCTTTTCTGTTTTCCACAGACTGTTTTTGAGAGGAATTGTCAATCTGAGGACTGTGCTGCTGATCTGAAACTTCAGGGCAAATTACTGCTATCTAGGTGAGTAGGTGAACTTTTTCTTTTTCTTCTTTCTTAGATGCTGGTACACCATTTATTTATGTAAGATGTGTTCAAAACTCAAACTACAAATGCAGACATCTTATTCCAGACTAGGGTGTTGGTGATGATATCATGTCTAGTGCAGTACGTGTGCACAGAATCAGAACTGTGGTATTGGGTTGGGTGCATGCACAGGGCAAGACCTGTTCTCAAAGAGTTTGCAGTTGCAACAGACAAAACCAGTGATAGCGTAGTGGAGAGGGAGAGGGAAGGTTAATTCCGTCCAAATAAAACACCAACGTGGACCATATCATTTTTAAAAGATGATAAAATACTGTTTGTGACATGGTAGAAGTAATCTGCATGGAGAAAAGCATTTTTGTTTAGAAAAAGTGTCATGGAGCCTTTGTAAAAATTATGTTTAAGGGTGTGATTTTTTTTTTTGCCCTTTTTAATTTCTGAGCTTGTATTTTTCCTAACTAATTCTGCTCCTGTCTTTTTGTGAGTACCTCGGAGGTGTCTGATTTCACTTTCTTCTGAGATAATAAACCTAGTCAAATAGACCAGAGGTAAAATTTATGTTCTGTCCCTTGAGACTGGTGATCCTAGGAAAACGCCTATTGTTTTGCCAGGACAGTTATTCAATTTCTGGATAAATCAGGCTAAAGGTGAACTACAAGCACCGTTTCTGTTTCCTTTTTTTTCCAGCTTTTTAGCACATTTTTAGAAATGGGAAATGCTGATGTAAGTGATTTAATTGTGTTCTAGAGGTTTTACTGTTTGCAGATGCTTGCTTTGCTTCAGGTCAGGAAAGAGAGGGGAAGAAATTCTGGTTGTTAAAAAAAAAAGAAAAAAAAAAAGTAATAGGAGATGTGCACACTTTATGAAAGTGTACAGCATGCTGTAACTGTAGTTGGAGAAGAAACTGAACCAAAGTCAAATCCATGAAGTTATGGACTTAGCCAGACACGACTGAAGTCCACAGGAATGTTTTGGGGGATTGGCTGGGAGCAAGGTTAGGTCTCAGGTTGCAGTGTACAAGCTTTGTCTGTGGTTAGTCTGGGTTTTTGACCTTTCATTAGGTCTTTGTAGTGAGAAAAATGTGTTTAGAGTAGAGGTGGAAACCTGTCTGTGTGTACTGGGGAAGCGAGTGAGGGGGTTTGTCCTGCAATTGATGAATAATCAATTAAAAGCGCATTATAAAAACTTGTCAGCCACTGTGCGGGAATCAGTAAGAGCTGTACTTGTGACTGGAGTATCAGACTGTTTACTTTCATGGCTGTTATTTATGTTATCCTGACAATATAAAAGCCACAACTGTCAAAAAAGCTGAGGATATTCAAATGCAGCTTCTGTGATCGTATAGCGAAACGTCGAACGAGCGCTCTCAAGCTGACTTTGTTCAGTGACATTCTGAAGTTCTGTTTGAAGTAAACAGGATGTCATAAAATCTATCACGTCCACACAGAATGGGTTTTCTTTAGGTGAAGAGCTGCATGAACTCCAGCTGTTAAGAATCATAACACAGTGAGTTATGTCTGAAGAAAAGAGATTTTTTTTTAGCGGTCTGTAAAAATTCAAAAGCATGCGTAGATTCTGATTGTAGAGGACTGGTCCTCTTGAAGACTGTGCTCATCTTTTCAGCGCCATTGATCTCATGCTAGAGACCTCAGACTTTTTTCAGGTACTTTGTGTTTATGCTAATTGTGTGTAAAAAGGTTTGTTTTAATGTGTTTGTTTTTGGAAGAGCGTAAAAGGTGAGTCTTACTATTGGCAGCTGGGAATTGAGTGACTTTATTAGCAAAATTTTCACAACGCCTTATTTTACACAGTTGTGTCAGACTGAAATTGGTTAAGAATGAAATAAATGGAATGTAGCTAAAACAGGTGCTCCAGTAGATTGAGGTGAACAGGATGTCTATGGGAAGACAGTATGTGCAGTGTGTCAGGTATACAGCAGCTCTTTGAAGGTCTTTGCTGGACGCGTGGATAGGGTGATGTGGTTGAGATCACTTACCTGACCTTCAAAAAACTTTCATTAGGATTTATCCCCAAAGATCCATGAAGAAAGTAAGTTGCCCAGGCTAAGAGGAGTGGTGGTTAAGTGTTACGACCTAATTAAAAAGCAGTCAGCAACGGGAAATATAAGCAGTCTGTTTTCCTGTAGGGGAAGCTTCCACAAGTGTTTGAGTTGTGGCCAGAGGTATTCATGCTACTCAGAAATGATTGGGGAAATCTGCTAAAAATGAGTAGCAAGGTGGTAAAGTTTGCAAACCATATCGAGCTGTTGGGGTAATGAAAGAAAAAATGAGGAATGTTTTTAAGCAACCTGTGGCTAATCTGTGGAGTTTGCTGTTGAGGATGTTGTAGAAGTTGAGAATTTAAATGGTAGAGAAATGACTAATTTAAATGCTGGAAGCTGCAGAAATATATCAGGGGAATAACATGATATGCTGTCCTTGTTCTTCTATGGGCCTCTGTTTTAGACATGGTTGGGTATAGAATCACAGAATCACAGAATCGTAGGGGTTGGAAGGGACCTCCAGAGATCATCGAGTCCAACCCCCTGCCAAAGCAGGTTCCCTACAGCAGGTTGCACAGGTCGGCATCCAGGCAGGTCTTGAGGGTTCTCTGCTGGGTGGACGGACTTATTCTGGCTGTTCTCACAATTTTTTTCATTAATTTGTAGTGTGTTCGAGCCAAAAGCTGTACAGAATGCTATATACTGTAAGGCATAGTTTTGTCCATCCCAAGCTGTCAAATGTGTGCTGTTCAGAGCATTTGAGCTCATATTACGTTATCGTCAAGAGAACTGCTTGCTGAGGTCACGCTCAGGAAGTCAGGAACTACACAAGCTCCACCAATTTCCAGTTCACCTGGGCTATATTTCAATCACTAGGCTTACCCAGTGGATTAGGACTGCACGTGGCTTTGAAGATACTGAGCATACTGAATGACAGATCTAATGTGGCATTTCTTGGGACACTCCTTCTCTCCCTAAATTTTAACCAGCCACCTCAAATGGGGGCCAGTTACTCTGAGAAATAACAGACAGCATGACCAGGTGACAAAAGTGGTCAAACCAAGCAGATATATGTGTGAGTTGGAAACTGCTGTTCTGACCAGATACAGCTGGGTTTGCCTCGTTGTTTCCTGTTGTTTCTTGTTGGAGCTGCTGCAAGTGGAAACTGTGCTGCTGGGTGAGCTGAAATCCTTCCCTGTGCTGCTGGTAGTGGGGAGGAGAGGAGCAAAGGGCATCAGAGTGGAAAATAATGAAGCCCTAATAAAAAATTTAGAGATGATTTGGGTGGGTGATAAGCTTATGATTCCAATGTTCTGTGTTTTTTAAAGTATTTCTACTAGAGTGAAAATTGTCCTTGGAAGTGTGAGCTGAAGACTGAGGTTCCATGCTGCAGTGGAATAAAGACAAGCTCATAGAATTGCACTTATTTTGAGTAGAAAAGGGCATGTTTTCAGTTATCAAAGGAATCCTATTAAGGCTCAATTTCAGTTTACAGATGGATCTCTTTAGGGCTTGTCCTCTTTCATTAGCATACGTTTGTATGTCAACCCACCACAATTCGTTGTAAGTATTGTGGGATGATGTAACCAGCCTCTTCTTGCTTGTGGCAGATGACATGAAGGGCAGGTCACAGAGTGCGGTTTGGCAGACTCAGACTGGAGAATGTGAAGAGCTTCCTTGCATGGGTGGTTTGTGCTGCACTGGGGAGAGGTGTGCAGAGATACTAGATTCTGGCATTCTGGATTCCAGGACTTGGAGAGTCTGGCCTCATCTGCGGCTGAGAATAGTTCTGTGTCGAAGAGCAGGATGGCTGCTATGGCCTAAAAAGCACTAAAAAGCAATCAAAGAGTGTTCTGTTGGCTGTTATTTTTAAATACATTGTTTAATTTTATGAATATATTTATTGCATATCATACTTGACTTGAATGCCTCACTCTGTTTTCTCAACACAGCAGATGTCTTCTCCATCAGGCTTCTGTAGCAAATACCATGTTTTTATTGAGACGGTCCGTAGCTGCTTGTTTAGAAGCTGAACTGCATCTGTTTCCTCAAGATGTGTTGGGGAAAACTATGAAATGTGTGTTTTGTGAAGGATTAGGCTTCCCTAGCCTTTAAAGTCTGTTAATCCATTCCTCTGGTTCTTTATATGGAAGGCAAGCACTCTGATCTTTTAAGAGTAATTACTTAAAAGGGCTGAGAGAACAGAGTTCATGTGGACACAAATCTGGTTTTGCTCCAGTGTCTCATTTGTGCAGACAACTAGCTACAGAGGTAATAGCAGTTTTCAAGACCTGTTTATACCTCTGTGGGAACCAAGTGAAAATCATGGAGAAGACATCCAGGTGACAGTAAGGCTGTTTGGAAAAACAGACTTTCTTCCTGCTGTAATAAAGCAGCTTAAAGAACAGAGCAGAATGGCAGGTTCCTGATTTAGGGAGGAAATCCTGTCTCAATGTGTACATGACACTGACGGCTCACGTGCTGCAATGAGTAGAGCAGCTTCACAGAAAACAAACAGCAGCAGCAGAAAGATGCTGCAGCATGGTAGGGAGCTGCTGCATTCCAGCCTGAGCTGTGTGCGTGGTGTGTAAATTAAGGTTGTAAGGGATGGGTCAGTCAGCCTCCTGGATGGAAAAAGATGTAATCAGTATTGCTGAGCGATTTCAGGAGAAAGTTGGTCTTCCATATATTTACGTGATGTGAGGTTGTCCTCATCTGTCATTAGAAACAGCTTTACTCACCCATTGGAACACTTATTCTTACGTTTGGAATATGCAGCCTTTTAAACACATTGGCTTTGGAACTTCTTCAGATGTTCTAGATCACTTGTTAGATTCAAATTTATCTTACTTCCCTACAGACTAGTTGGGATTCATATCTGTACTTCTGCAAACTGTTTATTTTGGAAAAGTCAAATTGGAAGTAAAAGCTGTTGAAAGCCAAAGAGGCAACAGGTGCATTTGCAGAGATTTTTAAG